CTCCGCCCCCCCCCCCTCCCCCTCGCCTCCCCTCTCCCCCCCTCTCCTCTCCAGGTATCCAGTCATATCCAGGTCTTAGCCAGAAGAAAATCTAGGGAGTTCCAGTCCAAATTAAAGGTAAGGGGCTTAGTAATCCATAACATTTACATTTTCTTTACTGTGAAAAATCCTTTGGTGCACAGGAAGTGCTGTGTTTTCCATTTCCTGTGCCTTATGAATAAAGAACTTTTTACAATAGTAAAAATGAACACTGATGACCAGACTTGGCTGAAGAGACATAAAAAGCATCACGTACAGAAATCAAACTCCATTAACAGAAAACCCAGTGAAAAACATATCACTGAACTAAACAGATTATTCTCTGGAAAATGCAGTGCAAACATATTGCATCAATTAGCACCATGATAATCTAGAACATTGCTATTTAAAACAACTGATTTCACCTGAATTAAGACAACTGAGCTGTGCCTGTAGAAGCAATGGGAGGCTCTAAGCTATCTCTGCTCTACTACACAATACACAAGTGCAAACTGAATTCAGAGTTTGTCCCTTGCTGGTAACTTTCCACTCTGACTGGATGGATGCCTGTCACAGTGACTCTAGTATCCTAGGTGTCTAATTAGGCCTGTTTAGGTTTTTACCCCCTCCCTTGTTCTCCTCCTCCTCTTCCTGTCATTCTTTCAAATCCATACATTCATTTGTTCCTCTCCTCTCCCCTCCCTCTTCTTACACTCTCTCCACCCTCCTTTCAGTCTATTAATCTCTTACTCTTTGGGTCTCCTCCCTCTCTCCCTCTTTCCTTTTCTTTCCTCACTGTTGGTTGTAATTAACTTCATGTAAAGCAACAAAGAAGTGCTTGTTTACCGAGAAGAGCAGTCGGAACTGTGAGCGAAAACAAACCAAGGACTGAATTGATGTTTGCTGTCATTAAATAACTGTTAGATGGTTGATTAAAATTGATATTACATGTTATTTGAGTCATGTCAGTGACATAATATATATCTAATGTCTTATTAAAGCTAGAGTGTATGTGCCTGGGGAGTTTTCTTTAAAAGCGAACACAGTGGCAACACACCAGAGTGCAGCGTAGCCAAGTCCAAACGTACTAGTATAAAATATCTAATCTAATCTAATTAAAAACCTAGTTGGTGATTGTTTTCAGTGTCACTGTGACTTGACCAGGTCTACACTACAGCAGGATCAATGTGGCTGCACACTGACCCTGCACCTACAGTAAATTAGCAGCTATGCTGATAATTGTTTAGAGCATTGTGGCAGCATTTCTCACTTTTCTCAGAATTTTTACAATCCAATCATTTGATCAATGAAGAAAAAAAATCTACAGATTAGTTTGTAAACAAAATCATTAGCTGCATTTGGATATTAATTACTGTAGTTCTGCGGAGCTCCACCTCAATCACCTGCAACAGGGAAATCCCACTTTTATATCAGTGCATGAGTGATATCAATGTAATGATATATAATAGTACAACAGTCATATGAGACATTTTCCTGCATTGAGTACTTTTAAAACTTTTAAGTGCATCTTTGTGTTAATACTTACTTTTTCCTAACATTTTCAGACTCTTACATGTAACAGAGTACATTTACAGTGTGCTAGACCTATTAGTACTTTCACTTCAGTAAAGGTCCTCTACTACATGTTGTAGTTACCTGCTATTTTTTAAATCCTGTTCATATTTCTGTTTATTATTATAATCCTGTTGATTCTTTAGGGTCAAACTCTGCAAATATGTTTCTTGATCCAGTTCAACAGTTCGACTGTCACAGTCGCTTGCAGTTGAAGAAAGTCTTTAACTAAAAACCCTTCTGTTTTCAATGTAGCTGATCATAATAATAAAAGTAATTGTGCAATACTGTGATATTTTTTGAAATGGTTGTTGTACATTTAAAGTCTCATACCATTTACAACCTTAAATGAGAGGGGGACAAACACATTGGTTTGTTTTTGACAAAATGGTTAAATACAGAATAAAGCCAGATCCATCCTTAACTAATGAATAATTGATTACTGAAAAAAGAAAAAACTGATTATTATGTCTCAGCTCTATATACTGTGAACTAGCTGATTCTGTGACGTGCCATATTTCCCTCCTGTTGGAGTGCTCATTAAAACCAAAACACATGGATCAGTTGTTGTCAAGAAATGAGTTCAGGTCAAAGATGTTATCGAACCCATGTCCCTAGTATTTAATATGAAAATCCAGCATTACTCCCGTCTTGGCACCTCCTATAATATTATGTCCCCTAGGAGGGGAAACTTCTCTCAGTGCCAATTAACTTGAGTGAAGCTGCCAATTAGTGATTCTCCAGTTATTGCCCAGCCTCTAATTCCATTTCATTCAGTTGTTCTCTGCTCTGTGTTTCATGTTGAGTTCACATGCCACAAATAAGCCTTCACAATCAGGCCTACTATAAATCTGCAGTATATAACTGTATTCCCAGAGGTACTGGTGATGTATTCTGTGTTGCCTGAAGCACATTTAGCTCTGTGGCAAGCTTTGTGCTTGCCACTTTCCACCACTGCTGTTGCTATGACTTCCCCCAGGACACAAGCCAAACGCTCACATCCCCTCACTGAAGCTACACACACAGAGAATGGTATATTGTCCAAAATGTCACTGGAAGGCCAAACAGTGGATTTAGACATGAGCACACATGGCCGGACACTGATATGTGTGAAAGGTATAGCAAGGTCAAACCTTAATTGAATGTGAGCCCGGTGAGCGACTTCCAGCAGGAAGGTGAGAGGGTCAGCACCAAAAGCACTGAAACTGAAAAGTTTAGTTTCCTGATTTACTCCTCAAGGTCCATGTACAGTGTTTACTGACATTCTCTCCAGGTTATTAAATCAGTTTAATTGTCTGCAAAGCAATAGGGTTGATCTCAACATTGGTAGGGACAAACCTACCCCTTTAGCCCCCCACCCCTGAATTAGAGCCTCATCTGAAACAGTGAAGCTGCACCTGTTTCTAGTCTGTCTATAATGATGAGTGATTTTGGTAACAATACTGTATATTTTTTCCAAACTAAGGGTTGTAGTATAACCAGCGCACGGCCACTGTTGTGAGAAGTAATGTTGGTAACACTGCACTGGGTAAGACTAAAGTCAGTGAATAGTTTTGTAGCAGGCTGATCTCTTTTCAGTGTTGCATTTTGTAGACTATCCCTGTTCGCTTGTCTCACAGCCGCTGCATACTGAGACCAATTTTATTTGTCTGGAGCAGAGGACGGCTCATTTTGATAGAAATGAGGTTTTAGCTCGTTGTCTACAAAACAAAAGGTGTCAACAACATTTCGCTATTGATCTGGAAACTCAGAATCTGCAAATGTCTTTCCAACTTTACCAAAGTCAGCCACTACAACCTACCGCCGCCTCCTCTGTGTCTGGGGGCAAATATTACATTTACACGTAACGACAGATCACTGCCTCCTTTCAGTAGGTCGAGCATATCATAATGATCTAATATGACTTCACTACAAAGGTAATTTGCACAGGTTTGCTCAAATATTGGTAGAGGTATGTCCTTACTGTGATTATGTAAAACTGATTTATGGCCCTGTTCTTTTCCATATTGTTACACATTTGTACACGAGTCACTCCATACTGAGCAGTTTATTCAAATTGTGATATGTCAATTTGTGCAATCATAAAGTAGCAGGAGGCACCAAGCTGATCACAATCAGTTAGATACTGACATTAATTATGTGTTTTCCCCTCCAGCTTTGATTTTCTGTAGGATTTTAGATTCCATTACTCAAGATAATTCCAATTATTTCCTGCTTTTCATGACTCATCGTGCTGCTCCAAGGACCGTATGAGCTGAGTGAAGTGTATTCGTTATGATGATGGTGATGGTGTTAATGGGTGTTTGTTTGTTGATGTGCAGGACCAAAATGCTAAGGAGAAAGCTCTGCAGAGCATCTCCTCCATGTCATCAGCTCAGATCGTCTCAGCCACCGCAATACACAGCAAGCTACTGCCTGGAATAGTACGAGCTAGCTTCCCGGGCAACACGCAGGTAACACACACACACACACACACACACACACACACACACACTCTCTCTTTCTTTTTATTCTCTTAAAATATACAGGAACATGAATAATTTCAATTATTTAATTTTCTGTATTTATTTATTTGATTTGACAGTACACATCTTTCAACATTCAATGAAAGCAAATGTGTCAGATTTACCCAAGAAGGCTGGATTTTTTCTGTAGTCCCTGGGCAGGTTGATGTTAAAAATTAAGACAGACTAAATTTACAAAAAATATCACCAAGTAAGTCCTGTGATAAAAGGATATATCAAAAATAAGAGCAAATCAGATTAGAAAAATTACAAGGCAACAATAGAAATTTGTACAAAACAGAGTAACATTACAGATTCATGCATAGAGCTGGGCAGGCACACAGCGCAGTCCTCACCTGACACCCAGAACAAAAACCAGCCACATCAAATATCATGCTGGCACTCTTGCTTTTCCCGTTACCATATGTCAGAGTTTGTTCCAGCCAGACAGAAGGAGTGAGACCAGAGAGTAGCACATCATCTGTGTGGTTTACTAAATTGTCCCAAATTAATAGTTTTGATCAAATATGACGTGATGTGATTGTAACAGTTTGGGTTTTTATCTAAATTCTTTAGGACTCCTCAGGGACCAGCTAGTCTAGCAGCATGTGATATGAGGACAGATCTCATTCATAAACAACTTTGCATCTTCTTTTGTCAAGATATCTCTAATTAATTTAAATTGGAGCAATTTTTTTGTACAGTTTGTGTCCTGGTGCACACGCAGGAATACACACACACACACGCTGTACTGCATTCATGCCTCGGTTCACTGAATTCATGTGTGTGTTTATTTTCAGCTGTGGCAGGGGGTGATTCCTGGGGGACAGTCCAGCTCCACCACAGAAGAGTAAGTCACACTTGCCTTATACACTCATTTCTGATTTTGAAATGTGTTATTGCTTTGATATGAGACTTACAATTGTTAGTGGTTTTTGTATACGACTAGTAGTGTCAGTAAACTAAATTCAGTTTACCCAAAAAATTAGCTCCTGATAGCCACTGCACTAGTTAGTGTTTTTGTTGTACCTAGTGTACAGTAGCTAAAGGAAACATGTCAGACTTTCTCTCTTTGCTGATAATTGTTAATTTCTAACATTTGAATGCATAGATAATACTACATGGTATCAGCCTGATAATGGCCCATCCCAGCAGATGTTCAACACTTGTTCAAAACTGAGCATCAGACACAACAACAGTATCCTCACATTCTAAATATCTATGTCTGCTGCTCACCCATACACTCATCTTTCTACCAAGTGTGGAGTAAATAGACAGAGCCCATTTCCATCAATAGAAATATCACATAAATTCTCCTTTAGTGTCTATATCAACCATCAAATGTACCCTCCAAGTTGATATCTAGGAAACCATTGATGTGATTTTTGTCTGGAATCAGTTTTTCTGCAATTTATTGTATATATGAATACCATATGCAGAGTATCAGTGCTGGTGAACTTGGATTACACAGTGGCTAGCAGTGTGCTGCACGTTCAGAGCCCAGCTCATTTCACTGCCAGCTGCTCTTACATATCCATGTGATGATGATAATGGTAGTAAATGGGGCTGGTATAGCTTTTACTGGACTCGGAGATGCTCTTGACCTCAGTGCTCCTTGGTATTGTTCATACAAGACACAGAATAATGTAGATACAGTGTGACTGGCTCTGCTGGGTGTCTCCTTCTTTCTGCCTTTGTAAAAACTGTCCTAGCTGTCTGTCTGCGTCTGTGTTTTCTTTCAGCATCAAGCCGTTCTCTCAGCAAGCCTACTCTGTGCAGACAGCAGGGACCACCACAGTCTCAGGTGAGAGGGACCACAGTACGATTGTCTTCTTTCTGTAAAGCAGACAGGCGGTCCTCTCTCCTGCCTCTGTCTGTGCACCCAGGTCTCCGGTACACCTTGAGGTTTGTCTTGTGAAGAGGTTAAAAGGAGAAAAGAAGGTGTCAGTCTGACTTCTCCTACACCATTTGTAATAGATCATTTTGTCTTACTTCTTCCAATATCTACAGTCGAATTTAACTGAAATTAACTATTTAACTGAAACTGTTTTGTATGGTTAAAATTATGATCACCGGTACCTGGAAGAAGAAAATGCAGTTATTTTAATTTTTTCACAGTTAAATTGATATTTTCTAGGACAGATGAATTGTTGGGTCAGACCAGCATTGCTAGCACTGTTTGATTTTGGATTTGATTTGTGTGTGTGCACACTAATTATTAATACAGGCAGTTGGTGCAGGGATCATTGTTGTCAGCCGTTGTTTAGCCTCCTCTGCGATTTGAGCAACTCCAAATGTGCTACTCTGTGTCATGTTCTGAACTAGTGTATCAACTGTTGTGGCCACAGGCTACCTGTTGCTGAGAATTTTGACACTCTGGTAATTTGGCGTCAACATATGGTCTCATGAAAGAGAGACAGCTAATGCTAACTAGCTCTCTGCCTTTGTGTTATATGAGACAAACACAGAATTCAGTGTGCATGACCTGTAAATGTATTATCTAATGCTAGCAAACTGCATACTAGTAGGTTGCTGAGACTAGTGGGAATGTGCATACATTAGTGGGCTTGTCTAACTACTATCACTTTCACTTTCCAAGGGGAAACTCCCTAACTGTCCCCATAGACTGCCATGTTAAAATGTCCAACTTCACTGCAGAAATAAACATGTTTACAGCCTGGTACAAAAATGGTTTGGGTCTCTATAGCTAATTTCCTCTTCCATGACAACTGTGCAGGGGTGAATTTTTATATAGCTTGCACATTTAAATTATATTGAGAGAAAGTTACAGGCAGGAGAGTCGTGCCATAGGTGGCTGGCTGCTAGCTGTCCAATGAGCTTCGCTTGCGCTCCACCTCTTTGCCCATTTATGAATTAGATGTAGCAGGCAGAGTGAATATGCCAGACTTGAGCTTCAAAACCACTGTTCGGAAGACCATTGGGTGATGTCACGGTGGGTTTGTCCAGTTTTTTATACAGTCAGTGGTGCACACAGGCCATTTTGCATAGGGTTCACAAGTGAGCTAATCCAGCCATGACTGACTATAGTGTGTGTCAGCAAAAGTTACTTTTCAGGGCATGAAGAATGCAACCCGTCACTGTTGATCTTTAACAGCTGTAACAATTCATCAAGGGGTTCTAAATTTTACTCCAAGTGGATGATGGCAGCTGTCAGTTCAAATAGCATGAAACTAAATGACAGTAGGAGAGAAGCTTTTTAAAAATGGGGTGTGAGTTATTAGTAAGTGTCCATGGGATTTCACTCAGTCCTCATCATTGCCAGCCCTTTTATTCTACTTCTGTTAATTGCTTTTCAGTGCTGCACCCTCGCCTCTCTCAGGCTTTGTCGATGAGACTCGAGTAACACCATAAATTTGACATGTTGCAATGAAGAATAATGACAGCACAACTACTGCCCCTGTTAAATAGTATGATTGTACATGATGAGAGGAGTGTAGTGAGGTTAAACAGAATGTGTGTGTGTGTGTGTGTGTGTGTGTGTCGTCTAGGCTACGAGCCTCCTACTGCAGCCCAAATACACAGAGAGCCAGCGTGGCAGGGTCGCTCCATCGGCACCACCAAACTACGGCTGGTGGAGTTTTCATCCTTCCTTGAGACACAGAGGGACCAGGAGGCAGTGAGTATCTCTCTCTCTCACACACATACACACACACACACACACACACACACACACGGACAGAGAGAAAGCACCAGTCTACAATAAGCACTCCCTACTGTCCTATAAACAGAGATGATAGATAACTCCACGGCAGAGAACAGTGTTAAAGCCCTTTGTGTGTCTCCTAGTATGAATAATCTTTGTAAAGCTTTATCTGTCTGTCTGCTGAGTCCATCAGTCATCCTGCCACACTGTGGACTCACTGTCATTTTTCTATCTTGGGCTCACAGACAACCGGCATTCATCTTGTTGCTTTCTCTCCGGACAGTAAAAGCACCTCGAACAGTTGTACAGTGACACATAGATTTTGTCAAAGCACATCGTGTTTCCTACATAATTTACAGTACTTTACATGAAGGAGGTCAGGAAATGCCATTAAAGGTGCCCACATGTAGCATGATGGTGAAAAGTGGAATGGACTTTGGAGTGAATACCAGTTCACTGTGTTGTTTCTGTCAGTCTTTCTGTTGTTTCACCTGCCATCAGACTCCTAAACAGCTGACTTAGGATCTACCTCATGTAATTCCATTGCAATGAAACATTTACATTTAGCTTTATTGGTAGACAAAGTCCATTACAGTTGCACATATGTGATAAATATCTTATCATGATTTTTCTTACCACTCTGGTGATTTTTAGTACATTGTGTTGCTTTTCCTGGCTTAGTGGTCGGCATATCATATGTTGAATGCATTTGCTTCTCAATAAAACATTTTCAAATCCAATCTTTTAGTATTTTGAAACCTGGTGGGGCAACGCTGCTTACTTTGGCCTAATACCGCCACCAGCTGGCTTCTAGTGGGATAGTGAGCAGTTATTGACAGGAATGTGTATCATCACCTGTGTGAAAGTACTTATAATGTGTGTCTTTCTGTGGGCATGGGATATAAACAAAAAGGAGGCCTGCTTATCAACATGTTGTGCCACATTACATGGCAGTGTCCCTTTACAGAAGCTGGATGATCATCTAACATATAATCTACTTCATGTCTCTAGAGCTGTGCACTAGAGGTTGGTAAAATGCTACTGGAACTGATCTAGATGGTCAAAACTAAAACAGATAATAAAATACCCAGGTTGCAAAAAGACAAAATGTTATTTTTCATTAATAAAAATCCAGTTAAGACCTGTTTTATATTTAGAATAAAGATGGTGAAAGTGGAATGGACTTTGGAGTGAATACCAGTTCACTGTGTTGTTTCTGTCTTTCTATGGTTTCACCTGCCATCAGACTCCTAAACAGCTGACTCAGCATCCCCCTCGTAATTCCATCTGTACTCATTTTGCACATGCATAATTGCACACTCACTGCTGAGTATTTGCAATCCACGGCTCCCATGTAGCATATACAGTATTCTCTGCGTTATATTGTGTTCTTGTTGTATTTTTATTTGCTTCCTTCACTTGCTGCCTTAGATTTGTGATTTTACTGCCTATTTAGATTTGTGTTATTGCTCATCTACCTTATATCTCACTTTATATTTCATTTGTATTTTGTGGCATTCATATGGACGGCAAAGTAAGAATTTCATTGTACAGGGAAACACGTTTCCTAACTGTGCATATGACAAATAAACACTTTGAACTTTGACCTTGACCTAGTGTAGCTTCAGAAATTTCCCATCTAGCTCCACTTTTTCTCCTCCAGCCTCATCTGATTCACATTTCTCTCTCTCTTCAGTACAACAAGCACCTGTTTGTGCACATCAGCCAGAGCAGCCCGAGCTACAGCGACCCCCTACTGGAGTGTGTGGACATCAGACAGATCTATGACAAGTTCCCAGAGAAGAAGGGTGGCCTTAAGGACTTGTTCAGCAAGGGCCCGCAAAACGCTTTCTACCTGATCAAGTTCTGGGTGAGCAGACAAAAACCGAACCTCCCTCATGTTTACATGGGAGTTTATTTTCATTTTATTACCCCTCCAAGCCAACTTCATTTCCAACTGAATCAAATAGTGTCTGAAAATGTCTAAAATGCTGTCTTTCTTATTGTTTGGTCAACGTTTTTGTTGTATTTAGATTTTGAAAATTATTTTCATTGTCCATGTGCAGGGTCAGCACTTAACCTCACTAGTTTTTCTACACACTGTCTTCATTTGCAGGCTGCTTACAGGCGTGTGCACATGTGTGTGTGTGTATTCAGCCCTTCCACTTGTGATATTGGAGGTGGTGGGTTGATGAAAGCACAGTTGCTTTGTTTGAACACCTGCTCACATCCAGACTCACTGGTCGCTCTGTGTGTGTGTGGGTGTGTGTGTGTGTCTCTTTCCTGTTAGTGCTTCAGTACATTAAAGGACTTTCAGCATCAGTAATCCCAGAAACATATCACTCTTTTAAGTCATTTATTTTCACCAGAGAACTGCAGACAGTGATAATCATAGAGAAGCAGGTATCTGAGTAGACACCGTTTACAGTCATAAGATTACAGTTAGATTTACAGTAACTTTTGATTTCAGACCGAAGAAGAGAAAAAGCAGCTGTTTCTTTTCTAACTGACCATCAGTTTGCAGACTGAAATGGGGACTGTTGCTGACAGATTTGATGTGCTCATTACGCTAACCTTAGCTCCATGAGTTTGCAGAAGGTGCTGTCTCTGGTTGACTTATTAAATATGCTTGATGAATACATGCTATTATGTGAAAAGACAGAAACAACATTGTTCTTGCATTGCAGTGTGGAATTAGTTAATCCTGGTATGATGACTATGATGATGAAAAACTTTAAATCAGTCTTAAATTTTATTCCAGCATAATCTTGGTTAGCTGCTTATTTTACTTGGATGCACAAGACAGAGGTCAGATTTACAGTAGTAGCAGTTTTTACTAGTAATGTTACTAGTAATGAGTTTGGCTGCGACTGCAAGAGTATAAACCCCCCGAATCCAGTAACAAGTAGGACGGAGCTGCTAAGACTTGCCTTAAACCTGACATCATCCAGACCCAGTTTATACAGTGGGGAAATACTGAACAGCGAATGTGCAATCATGAAAGGTTTTTTGCAGCTGTGGCTCAGGAGGTAGAGCAGGTCGTCCTCTAACCAAAGGGTTGGCGGTTTGATCAACAGCTTGTCCAGTTCACATGTCAAAGTGTCCTTGAGCAAGACAGTGAGCTCCAGGTTGCTCCTGGTGATGTCACTGGTGTGTGAATATATGAACGTTTGTGTGAATGGATGGTGCGTAGAAATATACACAGCTCAGCCATAACATTAAGACCACTGACAGGTAAAGTGAATAACATCATCTCATTACAATGGCACCAGTCAGTCTGGGGTATATTAAGCAGCAAATGAACATTTAGTCCTCAAAGCCGACGTGTTGGAAACAGGAAAAACAGGCAAGTGTAAGGATCTGAGTGACTTTAACAAGGGCCAAGCTGTGATGGTGAGATGACTGGGTTGGAGCATCTCCCAGACTCCAGGTCTGGTTGGGTGTTCTTGGTCTGCAGTAGTTAGTACCTACCAACTGGTCTAAGGAAGGACATACAGTGATGTGGCGACAGGGTCATGAACGCCCAAGGCTCACTGATGATGAGGTTGATCTATGATACAATAAACTTTTAAGTTTCATTCGTCCTTTTCAAAAGATTCCATTTTGTTTGAACCTTTGTTAAAATGGATGAAGAACAAAAATACTGTACTTTTGTCTCTATGAAGAGAAACATTAAGTGGCTGTAGTGGTGATATCACACCTAAAGTGGTGAGGCTGTTGAACCTGTCTAAAATATTATCTCCAACTCCCCATGACCACAGTTTTCACTTCTTTTACATAGGTTTTCCACTGGTTGACACATTTGTGCTCTTCCTGACAGTAGAACTATGGAAGCAAACAGATTCACAGAAGATGTGAACTACAGAGAGATATGAGTGGCAACCAACTGCTGCGCTGACTCCTTTGTACACAGTATTAGGCAGGTGGTCATAATGTTATGGCTGATCAGTATAAGTATAAGTTCATTTATGTAACCCTACAGAATAAAATAGTATGAAATGCTCCTTGGCTTGGAAGTAACTCTGCTTTTTAATACTGTAAGCTAGTTAGCCAGACATGCTAACAATCATTCCTTCCACTTTTACTCTTGTGCTTTTTGGAAAACCTAAAAAAGGCAGGACCACCTCTTTATATGCAGAGTATCACTCTTACTGAAGTCGTGTGTATATCAACTCAGCATGTGGAGAAATGCAAAGCTTGACAGGCTTGCTTTGTCTAGTCACAGTTGCTAAGCTATGATTGGACAATCCATGTTTGGAAGTTGGGTTTACCAACAAAGTGTCACACAGGATGAATTTTAATGAAGCCGTGAGGTTATCAGACAGTAACATCATGTGGGTGAGGACAGAGGCCTGCAGGCCTGCGAAGTGCATTCAGTTTATGCTAAATGTAGAAGTGATGAGGTGTACTTGCAACATTAAAACAAACTGTGTCTGTGTGTGTCTTGTAGAGAAGGCCTCTCCTCTGAATTTTATTAAAAGGCTCCCTGATCTACCACACTAGAGTGTGTTTCTGATAATCTGCAACTTTAGTTTGTATGAATGTAGAATATGTAGAAATAATGTACTCGTGGGTGGTTTAGCATATGGTGTGTGTTTGTTTGTTCTCAGCCCTGAGACATCCAGTGCTCCTTGGAGAACTCATTACAAACAGTACAAGCTCTTCTCCACTTCTCTCAGCCTGTAATCCAGGTGCAGCATGTTCTGTTCACTATTCTGATAAAACACTTTGCAGCTTCAACTTCAGTGACATGAATATTGTTTTACCCTGACATCTTTCTGTATTTTTAGAAAGCAGATTTGCATCCTGTACATGCTAATCGTTTTTCTATCAAGTGTATGCTAACATAAGTCTGGGGCAAACAATTGAACAGCAATGAACAGTTACTGTTAACCCTCTAACAAGCAGCCTCCTGCACGTCGGCTGTTCATGTCAAACGCTGTGATGCCAAAAATTGTACAGACTCACAGAAATGTATTTTAGGACTTAGTGTGAATATGTCAGTCAGTATAAACATCATATACTGTACATAGATTGAAATCCCCCTCCGCTGTAGAGGACTGTCAACTTGCAGACGACCTGAACGTATTCTACTGCAGGTTTGACAATCAACACCTCACCCTCCCCACCTCAGATCCAGCAGCTGCCCCGCCAACAATAATTACCAGAAGAAGATAATAATGTAGAAGATAATTACCAAAGTATGTAATTATGTAAGAATGTTAACAGTCTGTAATATTTTTTAGTATATAACTAGAATGGTGTAGAACAAAATGATCTATGTAGTAATACTGCTTGCAAACCAATGATGGTAAGATGATGTCATGGGGTAGGACTGGATAAGTCTGACTTCTTCCTACTCCATTCAAGCAGGTACTAGGTATAAGCAAATTGAAAATGCATTTGTGGATTTGTGTGAAATTATGTGTGTTGACATATTGACTGTCGTTACATGTTTGAAAGAATAAATCAAATCAAATCAAATCAAAAAACAATCACCACCCTTCCCTCCAGCTCCCCAACCTCTAATGATCTGTGAAAAAGGATGTGTGTGGCCTTTTTAAAAGACAAAGGATCAGAAAGGCACCAGGCCCAGATGGTGTGATCTTCACACTTATCTTCAACACGTCACTGGAGCTGTGTGAAGTCCCCTCCTGCTTCAAATGCTCCACCATCATTTCAGTCCCCAAGAAAACCTCCATCAGTGGACTGAATGACTACAGACCTGTCGCCCTGACATCTGTAGTTATGAAGTCCTTTGAGAGATTGGTGTTGTCCCACCTGAAGGACATCGTAGAGCCCCTGCTAGAACCCCTGCAGTTTGCCTACTGGGCAAACAGGTCAGTGGACGATGCAGTGAACATGGCACTGCATTACATCCTGCAACACCTCGACTCCCCAGGGACCTATGCATGGGCCCTCTTTGTGGACTTCAGCTCAGCATTCAACACCATCATCTGACCCAGCTCACTGTACCTGCCCCCACCTGTCAGTGGATTACTAGCTTTCTGACAGACAGGAAGCAGCAGGTGAGGCTGGGGAAAACCACATCCAACACCCGGACAATAAGCACAGGTGCCCCCCAGGGATGTGTGCTCTCCCCTCTGCTGTTTTCACTCTACACCAATGACTGCAGCTTGAAGGACCCCTCTGTCAAGCTCCTAAAGTTTGCAGATGACACAACGGTCATTGGTCTCATCCGAGACAGTGACGAGTCAGCCTACAGATGGGAGGTTGAGCAGCAGGTCCTGTGGTGTAGCCGCAACAACCTGGAGCTGAACACGCTTAAAACAGTGGAGATGACAGTGGACTTCAGGAAGA